AATAATTTTATAAACTGGGATTCAATATGTTCAAGGATGATGTGACTTGCCTTGCTCAGAGAGAACGGACTTCCGAACCTTCGGCGACGACCACGAACCACGCTTCGGGAACCTCCAGAACGACGAAGACTACGCGAAGCACACAAGCAAAGCTACAAGCCTATAAAGAAGCAATAACAATACATAAAAAGAAAGCACAGGGCTCTTTAGGTTATAACAAACATTAAGAGACTTGAACGGGTCGATTCGGAGCTCGTATGACCAAGACATGGTCATCCGAAGTTTAATGCTGTCATATGGAGATTTGCGGATTATTATAATTAAGCTTTGCAACTATAAAACATGTGTAAGCGCTAGCCTGGAAAAGACAGGAAGGCTGCGCCGTTGACATGCGGACCCCACATGTCAACAAAAAGGACCGCGGTAGACCGAGTACACAGAGACGGTCCACGGGTCGATGGAAGCGGATCCCGTGTGTCAACCGAGGCGAGTGGCCGACAAACGGAGTCCACTAGACACCACACGGGCTGCACACGTGGAAACCACGCGGCTACCGAGCGGGCACACTAACACGGTCACCACACGCACAAGCGAATGACTACCGACACCGGTACACGGGTACCGGGGTCGACAACCGCACAACGAGCACGGGCGACAACGAAAGGACGAGGACGGGGCAGCAAGAGGGGAGACCTTACCACCACGCGACGAGGCGTGGGAACGACAACGACGAACGGGCGCGGCGGAGACAGACGGCAAGGGAACGACTTCAGCGGCGATCCTTGGACGAAGGTGAGACGCGGCCGGCACGAGGCTTGACGACGCGGAGGCGAGGACGAAGACGACGATGGGGCTGCAGCGGCACACTTGACGGACGCGGACGACGGACAAGAACGGCTTGACAGAGGGACGAACGCCACAACGAGCGAAACCAGGAACGACGAGAGGACGACGACGACGACGACCGGAGCCGGCGAGGAGGCGACGAGGGCAGCCGGCAGCGGCTGCACGGAGACGAGGACGGCGTGTTCCACGCCGCTGCAATGCCGACGACGGAGGCGGCGCCGCGAGATGACGAGCCGGCGAGGAGGAACGATGACGATGACGACGAACACCGGCGGGGTTCGGTCGAAGGGGAGGCGAGGCCGAGGGTGGCGTCGCGGCTGCGATGCCGAAGGTGGTGGAGGTGCGGCCGACCGGTGCACGGGTGAGGAGGGACGGGCGGCCGAACAACTCCGGCGAGGCGGATGGAGAGGTTCGCGGCGATGTGCGGCGGCTTCCGGGCGAAACCGAGGGGTGGACGAGGTGGAGGGCTACGTCACCGTGCCGAGGGAGGGGACGGCAGCGCCGGCTGACGCACGGGCATGGCGAAAGGGGTTGCCGGAGGAGACGTCGACGAGGAGGAAGGTGAGGCCGGCGCGGGCGACAGTGTTCCGGCGAAATTCGGGCGAGGAGGAGGTGATGCCGGGGATGAGAGCGGCGTCGCGGAGCCGAGGGAGGTGGTGGCGACGTCGACCGGCGCTCAGGCAGGGAGACAGAGGCGGCTGGAGGCGGCCGGCGCGGAGGAAAGGGAAGGGCGACGGCGGGAACGCAGCTCCGGTGGTCTCCGCGGGAAACGGAGGGCAAGCCGGGGAAGGGGAGGCCACTGCGATGCTGGAGGAGGCGACGGCGCGACCGGACGGCGCTCCGGCGAGGAGGGAGAGGCGGCTGGAGGCGGCCGGCGGCACGGGAGAGAGAGGAGGACGGCGGGGAGAGGGCTAGGGACCACGGGAGATCGCGGGAGGGGGCTAAAACGATAGAACGGAGCGAGGGGGTAGCATTTTATAGCGGAGGGAAGCGAGCCGAGCACGGGAGAGGGCGGAACGGCGACGGGAATGGCGGCCGGCGGCCATGGAAAGCGGCCGGAGAAAACGCGGGCGTTCCCGGCGATTGGGGGCACGATCCAAGGGGGAAATTGGGGGGAATTGAAGAGGAATCAATGGGATTTAAAACCCCCCAATTAATTTTGGAATCCATGGTTTGATTTGCGCGGATTTGGAGGAGGAACGGCTCTAGGTTTTCCCGGAGAGGGAGAGGAGGCTGAGCGGGAGGAGGAAGAAGACGACGGCCGGCCTGGCGCGTGGGCCCCACGCGGGCGCGCGGCGTCAGCGCGCGTGCGGCGCGCGTGCGCACGCGGCTGGCTCAGGCAGGGGGGGCGCCGCTCGGGTTGGGCCCGGAGGCGGCCCAGGTGGGAGGGGGCGGAACGGCTTGGGCCGAGAGGCGGCCCAGGAGGAGAGGAGGGCGAGGGAGCCCGGGAGAGAGAGGGAGGAGGGAGTGGGCCGGGAGGGGAGGAGGCCCAAGAGGAGGAGGGAGAGAAGGAGAGGGAGAGAAAGAGAGGGAGGAGAGGGAGACTTTGGGCTGGGCTTGGCCCAAAGGAGGAAGAGGATTTATTTTTAGGTTTTTCTTTTTAATAAACTTTGATAATTGTTTTTGTTGCTTAATAATTATTTCCGGTGCTCTGAAAATTCAAGTAAAATTTGAGGGCTCCTTTTTGACCAAGGAGAATTTAACAAAAATTCTCCGGGCCACATTCGAATTTTTCTTGTACGTATTTTAGTGTTTGCCAATTTCTTTCCAAATTTTAATTAATTCTATTATTCCTTTTAGAAAATGATTTTTGTGCTTTGTTTCTGCTTGTTATATGGAGTTTATTAGAGTAAAAGCCTTTTCTTTTCCATTGGTCGTGTAGACGCTGCAGCTTCGGAAGATCCGCTCTTCGTGGAAGTTGAAGCCGACGTTTGGGAAAGCGAGCATGGCAAGTCACATCATCTTTGAACATATTGAATCCCAGTTTATAAAATTATGTTGATTTAAATTATTGCATTATCGCTTTATTTAAATTCCCGCGTTATCACTGTTTTATTTAGCCATGCCTATTTACCTTTGTTATGACCTTAATATTGTTATTGTTATTATTTCCTTGTTCACCCTAGAATAAACAAAACCCCAACTAGTGGACACTCTACTCATGGTACCACTAGTATGATTTTAGGTAGATGCTTCGCTGTTTAATTAGGTAACATTAGGTGATTTTACAACTCTAGACTTTGGGATGTTCATATCACCTGGACACTATGGAATGGTTTGGTTATTGTGGAATTGGCTTCACACCGCTCCTTCTATTCAAAATCCCCAAAATGGTTTTAGACTGGGCTCGGGGTGCATGGTTTTGATAGTAGCACCTCGGCCATATAAGGACCGGTCTTCGGGCCTCTGTTGCAAAGCACTACCGTACTTCCACATGTCTAGTGGGTAAGGCTTAGTTTGTGGCTCAGTCCGGTTATAAACAAAAGTACACGGATGGAGATGGAAGATGTCGGGGGTCGATGGACATCTCTAGGACAAATGAAGGCTACACGAGCTGCGGCCCGGTAGTCGAGATGTCATGGCACAGGGCCGGTGTCCTGCTGCTAGGGGCTCAGTCCTGCCTGCCTGTCCCGGGGGTTCCGGCCGTAGGTGGGATTGGGTCGGTACTCTTGTCTATGGCTAGGATGGGTTGGAAACTATGTCACGTCTTCCGTCTGTATACCGTGGTGGTGTAACATACCTGAATTCTAGGATTAAGGAATTTCCATCAAAACTAGTTGAAAGGGAAGTTCTTCAATTTTGTAAACCAAAAATTTCCATTTTAAACCTAGGTGGAGTTGATCCAACTCTTGCATGAATAAAATTTGAGAACAAATTAAAAACTTTTTCATCTTTAACCTAGGACTTGGATGCAACCCAAGTGAAAGCATGCATACTTGCATAAATCATATTTTGACTTGAGTCCTTCTTATGCATTTGGATTTTCGATTTGCATTTCATAATAGGTCTCATGAATATTAACTAAGATCTAGATAAACAACTAAACCATTAGGGCCTAGTGTTAACTAATGGAAAATAATACATAGAAACCATACACCTTAAAAAAAAATATCAACATGGCTAATGTCAAGCCTCACAAAACTAATTTGGACATCCATCTGAAGACATGTCATGAACATGAAAGTGAACAAATAAATTATATCATATAGGGTATATTCTATCTTAATCATCTCTATAAGCATTCTCTTAATTTAATACTAAAGTAAACTTATGCATAAATAGGGAAGGAGCTTATGACATGTGTAAGGTAAACTGTAATTCTAACATATCAACATCACCTCAGGTTAATGAGAGTCCAAATATAACTTTTATAAACATTTACATGCATTTAGGAAAGAGAAACACATATAAGACATAAGTCCTGCGAATTATCTAAAATAATTCATGCAAGATAAAATCATGGGAAAATTCATGTAGGCTCTACTCAACACATACAACTCACTGTAATTTTGGTATAATTTAATAACTAAATTTGGTACCTCAAATAAATCAGTCAAACTAATAAAAACTAGATTAACTGTAGTTCTTAATCGGCTAAAACCATACTTTGTCTAAAAGTGCATTTAACTGCATAAAAGTGTATAAGTAAAATAATTTATTCAAATACTAGGTCATTTATCATGAATAAAAATAATTTTTCCAGAATTTATCTTCTCTGTTTAGGTCTCCTAAAAATTCGAACTAGTTTCCAAAGAACCCATATTCCTCTAATTTCTGTGAGTAATCTATCCATAATTTTTGAGTGCAACCAAAGAAAATGGAAACTAGGTACATACACCTACCTCCAGTAAAATCAACACTAGCTAATCTGATCAACACATTAAGTATTGAAGCTACAAAATTAGAGGAGAAAATAATTCCGGAAATTCGTCCAAAAACCAAGCTCACCCATGTTTCTCCCTACACATCTCTCTTCCACCTAGTTTACTTCGACCTGGGCCCCCTTGTCAGTCCCTCTGGCTTGCCCTTCCTCTGTGCAACTTCCCTAGCTGACCGAGAAACACTGAGAGGGAGAGATCGAGCGCCGACCGGCTCTGGACGCCGCGCGACGCGTGGCTACGACGTGTCGACACCCTAAAAACGACGAGCTCCATTTCTGCCTCTCCCAGACGCGTCGCCACTCTTCACCCACCATTCCAGTGCCGATCCATCCGAGGGAGAGCATCCTCGCTGCTCTTCTCCACTGGTTCTCCATCGCCGGCCGCGAAGAAGACGATGGCCGCAATCGTTGATGAGCCGCGGTCGTTTCCTCTTCTCTTGCGTTCCATACTCTCCTCACCATGCCGAATATTTCTCCTTTTGATTTCATCCTCTCTGGTGCAGCCAATCGACGGAAACGCTGCAGTGCACACCGGAGCTCTGGAGCGCGCTCTGTGCACCGCCGCAGTGACATCATCGCCGTTCCCGCTTATCTGCACCAAGCCGGGCCAAGCTGTCGCGCCAGCGTCTTCGCCTCGACCTCCTCTCCATTTCCCCTCAAGAATCTCGAAGGATGGTGCTACGAGTGTGGAGATCGTCCACCGTCTTCTCCACCTCAGGTCACCGTCGCCGTTGCCGAATCCACCCCCTCCGGTGAGTACCAACCCAATTCCATGCATCAGTAGCATCCCTGGGGCCTCTCTAACCTCATGGACACACATGCATGATAGTTCTTGGAGCTGATTGAGCCATCGCCGTTCACCCGGAGGTTCTTGCCGCCGCCGAGCCGTTACACGAGCCGCCGTCATCAACCTAGCTACCCCAGCCATGTCTAGCATCTCGGTGAGCACCCTTCAGCCTATAGAACATACATGCATGCACCCAATTAACCAATACATGATTGTAGAAGCACATGCATCACCACCCGAAAACATCCTCCTTTCGGACTCGCCGCCGGCGTTACTCCGATGTCCACTAACCGAGAAAAGTAGAGGAATGGAATCGCAATAACATGATCTTCATTTTGTATTTTGGTCGCACCCCCAAACGAGCCATCGTTTGTCGCCGGTGAGCTCGAGATCGAGCTCAGCCATGGCTGTTCTGCCTCTGTGCGTGAGAAAAGAAGTCAGGGACCTTGTTTCGAGAATTTAAACAACTATAAGGATTAATGTGCAACTCTTCAACTCACTGACATATGAGGCTAGGTCTGCGGGTTGATTCTTAGAAACCTCAGGGATCTTTTTGTATATTAATATTTCACTGACAGTGGACCCCTTGGAAACAAAAATCTGAAATTATAAAAGAAAAGTACCTAAAACTTGTAAAATCCATATAAAATTAAATATAGCTCATTTTAAGATGATACAAATTTCTGTGAACTCACCAAATTGTGAACTTTAGTGTTATGGAATAAAAACTTGCACTCACAGTACAAATTTAGCCTCTAAAATTTATCCAAGTTAAGTCACACATAAAGCATGCACAAACTTATAAAATGCATACAAAATTCATTTCAACTCATTTTGGAGCAAACTCAGTTTCTACAGATCCACCAACTTATGTTCTCCTATAAAGCAAAATGAAATAGTATACATACTATACATCGAATGCCTCTAAAACTATTACCTTTAAAATGACTAGTTTTACATAAGCTGAACTTTAGAAGTTTATATAAAATTCATCTTAGATCCTTTTTGAGTAAACCCAAATTCAGTAGAATCATAGGGTTGTGCACTTCAATGTTATAAAATAAAAAGACATACTTACAGTATAACGAAAACCCCTAAGTATTTAAGTAAGGAATAAGCAACATGGAGCATACCTTAAATTGTAACATTTGTAGAAAATTCATCTATAGTCAAAATGAAGTGAACCAAATTTTCTATAGAACCAGCAAGTAATATACTTCAACTTAGTAGAGTGAATTATAGCACCCTCTTTACAGACCATGGCTCTGAACCTTAATTTGGTAGAATAGGAACTAAACACATAGTAGTGGTTAAACAATACATATGAAAAAGTATATATATGCATGGTAGCTCCAAATAAATCCAAATAAAACTTGTTGAACCAGTGAAGGCATAGATCCATCCCCTTCCACCAAAACTTAGTATCCTTAACTCATATAATAATCTCCAGATTGATATGTTAAGTTTCTAACATAGAACATCCCCTAGCTTATAAAATGTGAAGTAAAGTAATTTGAACACTAAATTTTATAAACTAAGATTAGATTAGTTAACTAAAATACACATTTTATACAACACTAGCAAGTTAGAGCAAGTTCTGGACCTAAATCTCCAAAGCCATGTACACATAGGGACTATATGCCTAGAACACGTTAAAACTTGTAAAATACATAAATAATTCATATTAACTCTAAAAATTATGAAACCAAATGTGTTAGTCTTAGAAAACACGTATCTTCACCCCAGCAAACATAAACTTAATAAGAATCACCTTACAACAGCATTTCACAATAGTACCTAAGTAAATCCTACACTATACCGACGAAACTTCTAAAATTCATAACTCCCAAATAAAATGAGATAAAATAGAAATTCTTTCACCTAAATTCATTTTATACCAGTACCTATTCTCTGTGCACAAATCATGCATTTTAGAACATTTTGGATTTTTCGCATATTTCGGTGTTTAATTGCATTACGTGTACTTTGTATAGATGATTGCTTAATCGGTGAAGAAGTGATTTAGGTGCTGACATTTTCCTGATTCAAGGCAAGTCCCACCTCCCTCTCTTTGATCACTTTGAACCTATGTTTTGGAGGTTATTGAAAATGTTTGCAAATCTTGCATGTCGATTCTACACTAATACATTAAAATCTTGTTAAACTTGTTAGACAAACTCCTATTATTTGCATTATCACCTTAACCCCACATATATCCATCTCCCTCATTCCTAACCTTAGGAATCATATCCTAGTACTACTTGGAATATGAGTTACATTGTCACTAGTTCACTATATTGCTTAGCCATGCTTAGAATAGTTTTACTTATCACTTGGGCTCATATTAACATGAAAAATGATTTTATTAAGTTTGGGACAGATATGAATAAATGAAGTATTTGATAAATAAAATGGTGGAAAACATGGATTTTAGGGTTGGGCCTCAAGTGGTGCACATATGATGATTAGTTGTGTACCGATAGGGGGAGAGTGCGCCCAAACCGACCTAAGGACTTCACTCAATGTCAGTTCATTTCGTATACAGTACAACCACATGTGCTAGTATGGGATAGCCCAAGCTTAGTAAATTATTTATGGTTTAGCCTTACATTCTGGTAGGCCGGTGTGTATGAGTTCGGATAACTCAGAGGAACTTTCTATTTACCCCGACGTGGTAGTTTAGGTGACTAAGTCTGTCCAATACAACGGCATTGTGCCACGTGGGTGGGTTCCCGTTGTGTCCGCCACCACGGCGTTAAGTTCAAGGCGTGGGCCCGCCACTTAACGGTTCTAGGTCATATTTCCAGTATGACTAGGATGGAGGAACACGTATCGTGCTGGTGTAAGGCTAAATCATGAATTTTGGAAAAGCTTTGTTGCGGGTAATAAATCGGGTACTTATGTATCGCGTGCCATGCTCTTGCATGATTATTATTTCGCATCATGTGGGTAAAGTGTACAAACTCTGCAGAGTTAAAACTAATCGATTAGCCGTGCTCGCGGTCATGAGCGGCGTGTGGATATGTATTGAGTATAGACTTGTGTTTATTCTTCTAAATGCTGAAATTTAACTTCAAATTGTGATGAGATTTGAGAATGATCTCCTTGCAGCCATGGAAGGCAATGAGGTGCATATTTATACATGATTAATGCCTACCTTGATGCCCAATATGTCAAATACTAGCTTGCTGAAATTTATTTGAAAGTAAACCTGATTTAGAAATGTTTTATGCAAATAAAACTTGCTTTATGCTAAAAAGAACCATATTATGCCTTCCTTGATTATATGCCTTGCAAGTAGGGTCTTAGGCTTGTCTTGGTGCTTGCCAGTACATTATTTCTAATAATGTACTGACTCTTGCTGTGGAATTAACCTTTTGCTTGCAGGTTTTAGACTTAGCCTTTGAGTGATGCGGGTGATCGACTGCTTCTTCTAGGACTTGAACTTAATGGGGTAAACCCCTAGTCGGTGTGCTTGTGGATTGGGTAGACAAGCTTCCGCTGTTCTATATATATATATTTTTTTTTGGCCAGTCGGCCAATGTATCTAAATTAGATGTAGTTTATAATCGCTTTCATCTTATTTGTGTTTGCTATGTATAATCATGCTTGAGATGAAAGTGTGAATCTAGTGCACATCCTGAGAACTAGATTCACATGAGTATGAGTTAAGAATATTTGAGATGTTGTAGATCTTTAGCCATTTTTGTCAAGTCTCCTGAATGTGTAACACATCTGGTCACCGCCTTCGAGTGGTTTGACGGGCACATCTCAGGCTGAAGTTGACTGGCAGGCTAAAGGCCCGGCAATGTCTCCAATATTCCTCTCTCGAGGCGTCGGATATTTCATTATACTAGTATAATGACTTGAATTATACATTTCATCTCTCAATTATAATGGAAGGTCCGGAGAGCCTACGACAGGTGGTATGTGGCACGTGGTTACACGTGAGGAAGATGTGTCTTGTGGGTAAAGATGTACACCTCTGATCAGAGTAAAATCTATTCGAATAGCCACGCCCTCGGTTATGGGCAAGCCGAGCAATGTACCCAAGTTAGTGTTTTAATTCTTAAAACCTGCTTAACAACTAAAAGGTGGAATGGTTGGCCTGGGTTGGCTTGGGACGAGCTGGGACCCAGGGTCGGGTTGCCAGTTCGGTCTGAATCATCGTAGGCCTTGGGTTAAGGCAGGTTCGTGTGGGTTCACGGCCTTGATAAATAATATTGTATAGTTCTAGAATCGTGTTTACTAAATAGTTTTGAGCAACTAAATATCTTTAAATGCTGTTTACTGCAACCCTAACCCTTTATAGTATAACTCCTTTGTACTCCCTTGCATTTATTCTGCACTTGTGGCTGTGTCTTGTTGAGTACGGTGGTTGTACTCAGTCTTGCTCAATTTTTCCCAAACCCAGAAGAGGAGCCCCTGGAAGATGAAGGCTTTGGTGTCTAGCTCGTGCCTGCCGTCAAGCGCCTGTGGTCGTCGCCCTAGTCTTCCGCTGTTTCTCGTTTGTCTTTGTGTGTGCTGGGCCTTCGCTGCCCATGTAATAAATTAACTATTTACGCTTCCACTTGTTAAACTCTAAATTGTATCAACTTTTGGTGTACCTTGCCTCCTGGGACAAGGAATAATACACGCACGTAAGGAACGCCCGTTGGGTTATTTCCGGTCGTGACATATAGGGGTTAGGTTTTGCAATAAACAGCATTTGAAGGACCCTTAGTTGCTCAAAGCTAAATTTAAAACACGATCCTAGAACTATTTAATATTATTAAACAAGGCCGTGAACCTACACGAACCTGCCTTAACCCAAGGACTACGATGATTCAGACCGAACTGGCAACCCGACCCTGGGTCCCAGCTCGTCCCAAGCCAACCCAGGCCAACCATTCCACATTTTAGTTATTAAGCAAGTTTTAAGAATTAAAAACACTAACTTGGGTACATTGCTAGGCTTGCCCATAACCGAGGGCGCGGCTATTCGAATAGGTTTTACTCTGATCAGAGGTGTACATCTTTACCCACAAGACACATCTTCCTCACGTGCAACCACGTGCCACATACCACCACGGCATATGGACGGAAGACATGACATAGTTTCCAACCCATCCTAGCCATAGACAAGAGTACCGACCCAACCCACCTACGGCCGGAACCCCCGGACAGGCAGGCAGAATTGAGCCCCTAGCAGCAGGACACCAGCCCTGTGCCATGACATCTCGACTACCGGGCCGCAGCCCGTATAGCCTTCATTTCTCCTAGAGATGTCCATCGACCCCCGACTTCGTCCATCTCCATCCGTGTACTTTTGTTTATAACCAGACTGAGCCACAAACTAAGCCTTACCCACTAGACATGTGAAAGTACGGTAGTGCTTTGCAACAGAGGCCCGAAGACCGGTCCTTATGTGGCCGAGGTGCTACTAATAAAACCATGCACCCCGAGCCCAGCCTAAAACCATTTTGAGGGTTTTGAATAGAGGGGGAGGTGTGCATCCAATTCCACAATAATCCAACCATTCCATAGTGTCCAAGTGATATGAATATTCCCAAAGTCTAGAGTTATAAAACCACCTAATGTTGCCTAGTTAATCAGCGAAGCATCTACCTAAATTCATACTAGTGGAACCATGAATAGAGTATCCACTAGCTGGGGTTTTGTTTATTCTAGGGTGAACAAGGTAATAATAACAATAGCAATAATAATAAGGTCATAACAAAGGTAAATAGGCATGGCTAAATAAAACAGCGATAACGCGGGAATTTAAATAAAGCGATAATGCAATAATTTAAATCAAAGTAATTTCACAAAGTGGGATCCAATATGTTCAAAGAATGATGTGACTTGCCTTGCTCGCTTTCCCAAACGTCGGCTTCAACCTCCACGAAGAGCGGATCTTTCGAAGCTGCAGCGTCTACACGACCAACGGAAAAGAAAAGGGCTTTTACTCTAATAAACTCCATATAACAAGCAGGAACAAAGCACAAAAATGGGTTCTTGACTTCTTAAGGAAAAATTAGAGACTTGAACGGTCCAATTCCGAGTTCAAATGGCCAAGTTATGGCCATTTGAAGTTTATATGCTCTTTAAATGAATATTTACGAATTTCTTCATTTAAATTTTAATTTAAAAATAGATTTATTGCGTCAGCCGGGAGAGAGGGCGCGCGGACCGGGTCCACGGGAGTGGGGCCCACGCGGCAGCCTCACGGTCCACGGTGGACCGGGTGCACCCGGCTCACACCGGCCGGCGCCGTGGGCCCCACGCGTCAGCCGCACCCGAGGGCGGGGGCGGCTGACGGCCGGGCCCCACGCGGCAGCCGCTAGGCGCGCCCGGAGGCGGCCACGTTGGCGCGGCCGGCGGGAGGCGGCGCCCGCGCCCCGATGGTCGCCGCCGGCGACCACCGGCACGGCGGAGCAGCGGCCGAGAGAGGGGAGGGAAGGGGGAAAGGAGGCGGCGGTCCACGCGTCACCCCGAGGGCGACGGCGGCGATGGAGGAGGCGGCCGGAGCGGAGGGAGGTGGTGGCGTGGCTCGGGTTGACGGGGTCGGCGGCGCTCCGGCGGTCGGCGACCGAAATGGAGAGGTGGACGAGGTCGGCGGGGATGCGGCGAAGCCGAAGGAGGCGGCGCCGAGGTGGGAGGTGGTCCGGGGCGACGACGGCGGCGGACCGGAGCTCGGCGGCGACGACGGAGAGAGAGAGCGACGGCGCGAGCTCGATTCCGGCGGGGAGAGAGGGCGGTGAGTGGCGGAAACGACGGTGGGGAGCTCGGGGAGGGTTTATATAGGGTTGGGAGTGAGAGAGGGCGGCCGGAGGAGGGGGAAATGGGCGCGGGAGACCCGGCCGCCATTAATGGCGCCGGTGAGGTTAGGGGAGAGGTTTCTAAACGAATCCGAGGGAGAGAGGGAGGGAAAAATGGGGCGAAAGGGGGAGAGGATCCCGGGGAATAATTCCCCCCACTTTAATGCACGCGGGGACGGCGGGATGCGGCGGAATCGGCGGCGGCGGCGGCGGCGCTAGGCGCGGGCGAGGTGGCGGGGGCGGCGGGAGGAAGGGGATGACGGGTGGGCCCCACCCGTCAGCGAGGGTGGCGGGCGGGCCCGCCCGTCAGCGGCGCGCGAGCGGGGAGGGCCGAGTGGGCCGCGGGGAGGAGGAGAGAGGGGGAGGGAGATGGGCCGAGCCGGCCCATTAGAGGGGAGAGGTGATTTTTAGGGTTTTTCTTTTTATAAAATCATTTTAACTTTGTTTATTTCTGAATAATTATTATTTGTGCTCTGAAAATTCCACTAAAATTTATTTACACATTTTAGGCTTTTAGGAAATATACAAAAATCCTCCAAGCCCTATTTGACTTTTAACTTTGCACATTTTAATTTTTGAAGGCTTTCACAAGCATTTTAATTATTCTAGGCATAATTTAGAGGATGTATTTTAGGGTCGATTTGGGACGCGACAAACCTACCCCCCTTAAACGGAATCTCGACCCCGAGATTCGGAAGAACTGGCGAAGAGATCTGGATGGGCTGCCTTCAGCTCGTCTTCACGCTCCCAAGTAGCTTCTTCCTCGGCATGGTTGCTCCATTGGACCTTGCAAAAACGGATTACCCGATTCCTGGTCCTGCGCTCCATGGTGTCCAGGATTTTCACTGGTCTCTCCACGTAGGTCAAGTCTTCGCGAACTTCAATCTGCTCTGAGTCGGCCTGCTCGGACGGCACTCGAAGACATTTCTTGAGTTGCGACACATGGAACACAT